TCGGTGAGATCAAAATTGTGAAGGAGACTCTAGAGGAAGCAAGGTTGGTGTCGAGATTTATATACAACCACTCTAAAATTTTATTTCTGTTTAGAAAACACTCTAAGAAAAAAGAGATAATCAGGCCTGCCATAACCCGCTTTGCGACCGATTACTTAGCTGTGGACTCCATTCGAAAATTTGAAGGTGCATTAAAGAGATTGTTTACTTGTGAAGAATGGTTAAATGACCGCCTCTCGAAGTCCAGTATCGGTATGAAAGTGGACAACATAATCTCAAATAGGCTGTTCTGGTCTCGATGTTCCAGTGTTGTAGAGGCCACTACCCCTTTGGTCACGGTATTAAGAATGGTGGATGTTGACAAGAAAGCTACCATGGGTATCCTTTATGAAGGTATTGAGAGGGCGAAATCAGCTATTGGGGAGAAGTGTAATTTTGCTAGCAAAGTGATCGAGATTATAGAAAAGAGGTGGAACACCAAATTTGGACGTCCAATTCATTATGCTGGTAAATATATATTTATATCATTACAATGTTTCAGTTTAAATTATTTTTTTATGAAATTGTAAATGACATTTTTCTACCTATATATTTTTTAGGTTACTACTTCAACCCAAATTTTTTTTATTTGACACTTGAACAACCCCACAAGATTATAGAAGGGGTCAGATACATTATTGCAAGGTTGGAGAGAAGCCATCGAAACCAAGTAGCAGCAATACAAGAGGTATTATTTAATGTTTGGGTAAGAACTTCATTGAGTTGTTATATTTATGAGGAATAATGCACTAAAACGTAATATATTTGTTTTAGCTTGCTATGTATAGGGATGCTATAGGATCCTTCGGAACTAGACTTGCCAGAAATTCTCGAACTATGATGGATCCAGGTTATCCCCTTGCTAATATTTTGTTCATTCATATATTTAATCTTATGAATTGTTCTTGCCCTTACAATGCTTTTTACATTTTAATCCAGCTGAATGGTGGGAGATATATGGTACTGATGCACCTCACCTAAAGAGGATAGCAATCAAGGTGCT